CTCATCATAGTCCCATCTGCCATATGGCCGCTTTTTGACTAATACAACAAAAGCAAATTCAAGACAAACCAGGGCCTCTACTATTCTGCCACTGGGATTATGGTACGAACAACATATACTTGTGGAGAGAGACATCAGGGGGTTGTCCTATAACGTGTGTTCCAGCAATTTGGCCATAACACGATTGACAAATAAGGAAATGCTATTTGTAAAACATGAACTTGTGTTGGCTATAACGTGATTCCATTGAGTATGGATTGTATGTCATAAACCTCAAATACAATAACGCACAGAGAACAACCATCTTAGTAGGAAAATATGTGAAGTCTTAGTTTGAAGAGTTTATGCTGAACACATTAAATGCATCAGCATTATTTTAAAATGCAGCTCATTTAAGTAGAAGAATGGACTCCAATGCAAAATTGATAGTATACGTAAAAAATGAAGCATAGTTTCCAAGATTTTGGAGTAGATTTGTAGCTCGGGTTGTGGGTGTTGAGGTTGGTTGGCTCACCGAGCTGGTTTGTTGTTTCGCAGACGTTTCGTTACCATGCTTGGTAACATCATCAGCGCAGCCTCCGATGAAGCGTCGGTGTGCTTTCCTGCCTGGTTTTTAAACGCTGGGGTCCGTTGAGCTGGATTGCCTCACTTCCGGTTTTCCTTCGTAGTGGAGTGTATATGGGGTTGAGTTCTATGTGTTTATTAATAGCATGCTTCGTGCCAGGAGTGCCAGGCTTCTAGGAATTCCCATGCCTGTCTCTGCTTAGCTTGTCCCAGGATTTTGGTGTTGTCCCAGTCAAATTGGTGGTATAGTCGAATTGGAAGTATAGTTTAAAATAATATGAGTGCTGTTAAAACATGTACCATTGTGGGTAGTATTTTTGCCTAGATTTTGTTACAGATTTAATATGGAAGAATTTTTGAACTTGCTCATGTAAATCATTTATACCAAAAGTTGTCAGTATTACAACCTGCTCTTTTCCAGCACTGTTTTGATTACAATGTTACTCAAGTTTACAACACATCTTAATCCTACAATTAACTTCAATGCCAATGGGATACACAGGAAAGAAAAGTCAGATTCCTCTGCTTCACTTATCTGAAAATTTATCCAGAAGTCTGTGCCGATGGAACGCCAGGTCAGATCAACATTTAAATGGGGGAAGGAATTTTACTAAAAATTGCCAACATGTCAATTTCAGGGGAGTTTCATGGAGGGTTGCTGGCTGTGAGCTCTATCTCACACAACTTTGCACTGCTTACCTCTTTTGCATCATGCTCACACTATCTTGCAGTACTGACCATTGCTGGGATTTCAAGTGGCAGAACTCTCTTTAAAGCCCAGCTGTCACTTGATGCTGCAAAGAGGCAAATACAAGATCAGATTCGTAAATGTATTGCCTCTTTGCAGCATCACCTGTCTGATGAACTGTCATTACAACTGCAGCTATGAAGAATGAAGCTACTCGGGTGAGGGAGAATTGTGGAAAATATAATTGTTATGTGTCCTTTGTGCCCCTAACCCAGCTGTTTCCATAGTCCCCATTATTTCTATTGTGCGATTTTCTATAACGCGATGTTGCACTGGAATGCAACTACTGCATTAAAGCAGAACCCCCTGTACTTTGGGTTTGCACCTACCTAGGGTTTTTGACCCAACCGTGGTGGGCTAATTACGTTCAAATTACCTAATTTCCTTAACATAGCAAATCAGGACATGATAATTTGCCATTGGAGATTTGTCCTGGCAAAATAATTAATATTGGAAAAGTTTTGAAACTTGTAATTTTGCCTGGAATTAGGGAATGAAGCAAGATAGAGAGAGGAGTAATAAAGTGAAGGAATACAAAAGCAAAAAGAATACAAAATACAAAACTTTGCCCTCAACAAAACAAAGCACCATATTCCAACTTTCACAGTGTCTACTTCCATCATTCGTAAAAGAGTACTTGTCCAACGTTTAAAGGCACAGTAGTTATCAGTGTCTTTAAATCAAAGGAGATGACATTAAACTTGTATAAGACATTGCTTAGACCTCAGCTGGAGTTCTATGTTATGTTCTATGGCTGACACATTATAGGAAAGATGTGAACATATGCTAGAGAGCGTAGAAGCAATTACTAACAATGGTTCTGGAATTGAGGGTATATTGAAGAAGTTGGGACTGTTCTCCTTGGAGAGAAGACTGAGAAGAGAATTGATAGAGGTGTTCAAAATCATGAGAGTGCTGGATAGAGTAGGTAGGGTGAAACTGTTCCCACTTGTAAAAAGAAGAAGGAAAAGAGATCACAGATTTAAAGTCATGTGCACAATGGAGCACAAGTGAATTGAGGAAATATTTCTTCACATGGTGAATAGTTAGGGTGTGGAATGCACTGTTTGGAAGTGCAGTAAGGCAGGTTCAATTGAGGCATTCAAGAGGGCATTGGATGAATATTTGGATAAAACTAACGTGCAAGGGTATGTGAACAAACAGGGGATTGGCACCAGATAGTGATGCTTGTTTGATGAGCCAGTACGGGCACAATGGGCTAAATGGCCTCCTGTTGCATTGTAAAACTTCTGTGATTCTATGAAATGCCTTACTTTGCTCAAAGTTTTCTACATTTTTCAATTGAGTTAAGTATTGTAAGGCAGGACATGTTTGTAATAATTTTTAATCAACTTGTTCAGACATTCCTCCGATGCAGGTGAGAATTGAACCCATATCTTCAAGTCCAGAGTTAGGGACACTACCACTGTTACACAAGAGCCCTTAAAGTTGTGACTGTAAACAAACGCCTGGGACACTATGATAGATGTGAGTTTAACTCCTTGACTTCAATCATGCCTAGATTAGGGGTAGACGATTGTGCTGGTTAGACCCGTTCCAACAGAGACTGAGTGAGAATATATCATTCTGCTCATTCTAATGCTGCTGCTACCACCTATAGTGATGGGAGCATTATCTGCCTACTACAAATCAGGCATCTTAACTAAAATGCTGTGTATGGTATGGGAAGGCAAATTAAATCCGATATTAATACAAAGATACCAAAATTAATTGTGCAAGGCAATGTGCATGGTTATATTAGAATAGATCAATAAGAAACTGTGTCCCTTTCAATAGACTCATCTCAGCTGTCAGAGACTCCCTCTATTGGTTTTGTTAGGAATAACAGCTTTTACAGAGATCTCTTGATTGTATATTTGCCTTGGTGGTTTTAAAATGAGCAACAAAAAATGGAGCTCTTCAACTCCCTCAGTGAATTCTGAACAAACTGTGGAGGATATTTGGATAACATGAAGTTGAACGAGTATCTGATGAGCTGGTTCCATCTCGCTGCTGATTCATTAATAAGGTTTATTTATTCGTTTTATTTATCCAGCTGGGAAGGATAAAATCAATAATTTCTCCTGTTCATTTCCATTGAAATTTAGTGCCAGAACTATATTAAAGAGGTACCTTCACTTAAGAAAGAAGTTTAGAAGTACAATCATTATTTAAGAATAAGTCATTTCACAGATTACAAAATTATGAATGATGAATATGAATCATTGACTAGGGATTTCCTCCAAGCTGATCCTGCTCCAGTATTACAATATTATATAGAATAGAAATAGGCCATTTGGCCCAACTAAACTATGCTGATATTTATACTCTACCTGAGTCTCCTCTCATTCCCATTACCTTTCATTTCATGGACTGGTGCAGAAATGTAAGTATGGCAAAACTGTCTCGTTCTCTTCATTTCAACTAAGTAGACTGATTTCCATTGTGTAAGCTTTGCCATTTCTACTTGAAAGTCGTTATTTTTATGGACCAGACCAGATGCCCACCTCCTCAAAGTATTGTAACAAGACAAACTAGACCTTAACTGTTATTTTTATTTTGAAGGAAATATAAAGTGCTGTGTTCCAGATGTGATTTGACTGGGCCACTACTAGGCTTTCATCAAAACATACTTTATTCTTACAACAGTTAAAATACGAAACAAAATTGGCAGAACTTTAACTCTAATAAAGTACGTAATAAGATAATGTATTATTTAACCACTAATCAACAACTGTTTCAATATAGGTAGCATCCCACAAACACACCCTTTGGCAAAAATGCAATTCAACAAAACACTTATTTTCTCATTGTTTCTCTCCAGTCCAGAAGAAAGAAACAATCTGCCCCTTTTGATTTTTAAGAGGAAGCCTTGCTGATTAAGACTTTACACTCCATCAGCTGGGAACTCAAGCTGTTAGCTCAGCAGCCAGCAGAAACTTTCTTGACAACTGGAAGCAAAAACTAAAAGCCTTCCTGGGTCCCTGTGAGCCCTGACCCCACCCATTCATGATTCTATCCTCTCATTTAAAAAAAACACCCAGGGAGAATTCGAAAGCTGTTTGCCAACTGCCTGTCTGAAGGGGACATTTTTGCACCACTGTGGAAACATCCCTCTGCAAGAGAAATGGCAAAGAACACCTCTCTCTTAAAGGGCACAGTCTTGTCACACCATCAGTCTCTACAGAGACAAGTACAAGAATTGTACAGAACACCAAATGTGAGAATAGATAATGAGGAACAAGGTAGAAAGGGGTGTATAAGTAGATATTCAGACGGAGGAGGTTTCAGAGGTATGGGCATATGGTGGAAGATTATAGGCAGTTGAAACCAAGAAAGCAGATAACTCAAACGGTAGTGTTCTGACAGAAGACCTCCTCTTCAAGTAACAACCTGCTCCCTCTCTGCCCCATCCCCCAAAAAATCCATCCATCCCACCTTGTCTGCTCTCACGCCCAAGAGAAAAATTGGAGCTACAGATAAGGTTTTTTAGGTGAATGTTAGAGCTGCATAATGTCAAGGTGGAAAGATGAGTCTATGAATTTCCTTTAAACTTCATTGCAGCAGTGTAGGAGACTAAAGTCAGAGAGATCAGAGTTGAACAAGCAGAGAGTGCTGGAGAAACTCGGCAGTTCTGAAGAAGAGTCATACCAGATTGAAACATTAATCTTTCTTTTTCTCTCCACAGATTCTCTGTGTTTCAGATTTCCAGAATCTGCAGTATTTTGCTTTTATTCAAGGTCCAGAGTGGAAGTGAGAAGCAGAATTGAAAGGACAGGGAATTCAGGGTTATCCCTGCACAGTCAAGGTATTCAGCAAAATGATCATCTCAATCTGTATTTGACTTCCTGTTTTAACAATGTTCATGTGCCAGACCTTGAGGAAGATTCTTAGGACCTGAATTAACTCCTTTGGTTTCATTTTTTTTCCTTTTTCTTTTACTTCAAGTTTTTTGTTATCTCCTCAAAATGCTAACAGATGTCTGGAATGCTACAGAACCTCAGGCTAGTGGTCATTCTCTATCTGTGAGGGTGGCAGAGGAGCAACATACTGAGATGATTCCATTCTCTCTGGCCACTGTGCACACTTGCCTTCAGATGACACTGATTAGCGATAACCACAGATCATTAAAAATAGTAGCCAGGTATAGGCCATTGAGCGTGTCAAGCCTGCTCCACAATTCCCTAAGATCATGGCTGATCTAATTGTGGCCTTAGCTCCATTTTAGGCTGATTTGTTTCTCTCCCTCCTTATCCCAGACACTTTAGTAGTGCCAGTGTCTCTGTAATGCAGACATTTGACAAGATAATTTTGTTGAATGAATACATACAAGTCAGTTTCAGCAATGCTTTCATCAAGACTAAATTAACTGTGAAATACTTAACAGTTCAGATGGATCCATTGTTGATTAATTGTGGATTATAGCATTTAGATGACAGAATGGCCTTGCCTGAGTGAAGAAGTACTTGTCATAGCTGTTTTGAAACTGTAATACAGTGGATGTAATCAACACAATCATCAGAAATAACAGTGCAAAACACTTGAAGCAATTATTTATATACACACTGAAATTAAAGTCACCACAGTTGTACTTTCCCATTAAAGAGAGGCAACTGGTGGTGATTTAACCTGTGACAAGGGATGAGGTTGACAAAGTGCATGAGAACCTCAGCTAGTATGGGAATTGCACCCGTGCTGCTGGTATCATTCTACATTACAAACTAGCCATTCAATTGTTATGGACCAGACCAAACCCCCTCAAAATATTTTAAGAAGATAGCATAGACCCCAACTTTTTCTTATTTTTAAAGGTCCAGATGCAATTCAATTGGTTGAGCTACCAGGCTTGAAGCAAAACACACTTTATTCTTATACTACAGTTAAAATACAAACAAAAGAAAGAGGAATTGGAAAATAACTCTGTTGGAAAACTTAACAGAATAATAGATTATTTAAGTATTAAATAACAACTGTTCCAATGTAGTAATATCCCAGAAACATGCTCTAAGCAAAGGTAAATTCAGTAAAATAGATTGTCTCACATGTGATTCTAGCAACAGGAAGAGATCACCATTTTTGAGCTGTAACAGAGAGATGAATAACAGTTCCACATCCAGCTTAAAGACCCCAGCAACTGCTGAAAGCTAAAATTAAAATTCCTGTTTCTATGGGAGTTTGAACCCACCCCTTCATGCTGCTTCTATTGTTCCAACTTAAAAGAAAACCCAAAGCCTCACAAGCTGTTTACTTTATTGGCTTGCAGCAGACTGCTCTTCACCTCTGTCTCAACTTGTCTTCATTAAAAGAAGGACAAAATACAGATACTAAAGCCATAGTACTGTCACACCTCCCCCAGTAAAAAAAACAATAATCAAAGATGGCTTCAAGTTTTAAAAAAAATTAGTCTTATGCTATCAGTACATTATAATACATATACATTACATTGACTTAAAGCATGCAAACATTCACTACTACAGTCCATTTCAATCTGTTTCTTCGCACCACTGAATGCCTCTGACTTCACTCATCAAAGTCGCAACAATACGTTGGCAATTACATTCTCTCATCCTGCCATGTGTAGAATTTCAAAATTCAACAGCTGCTATAATAATCTCTATCTAAACAGTCTGGTATTTTTATCCTTAAATTTTTCCAAAAATTTTAAGGGGTTATGATCAGTATATACAATTGTCTCAGAGACATTATTGGCAACATAAATGTTGAAATGTTGCAACACCACCACCAAACTCAAGGTTTCCTTCTCAGTTGATGAATATTCAACTTTTTGGAAAAATACCCGATAGGTCTTTGTATATTCTCTTGCAAGAGTACAGACCAATACGCATATCGCCCACATTGATAGCCATCTCAAATGGCTTGCATTGTTAGATGTTGCTGACACTGGGGCAGTGGTTAACACAGCTTCCAGGTTATCAAATCCTTTTTGACATTCTTCCATCCACTTTAATTTTTTTGCACTTCTTTGACGACTCTGTCAGTGAAGCAACCATATTGGTAAAATTTGGTACAAAGTTCTGATAAAACCCACTTGATCCCAAAAATCATAGCACTTCCCTCTTCATCGATGGTGTAGGTAGCTCCCCAATAACCTTTGTTTTCCCATGAAGCCATCCATCCAAGTCCAACAACATGACCCAGCAATGTGACTTGGACTTTTGCGAACTCACTCTTAGCCAGGTTTATCATCAAGCCTACCTCCTAAAGTCAATTGAACATTTCTGATAGATGCTCCAAATGGTCATTCCATGTGTGACTAAAAATCACCAGATTGTCTATGTACACAGTTGGGTAATCCTGAAATAACCTTATTGGTTAGCCTTTGAAATGTGGTTTCGTACCAAATGGCATGACTTTAAACTTGTACTTGCACAGTCCATTCGTTGTCATGAAAGCTGAAATTTCCTTTGCTCTTTCAGATAACTTTACCTGCCAATATCCTCTGAGTAAGTCCAACCTAGAAAGATAAGTTGTTTGTCCCACCTACCCAATACAGTCAAACATGGAATAGGATATGAGTCAGATTTCATAACTGCAATGAATTTGTGATAGTCCACACATAATCATTGGCTACCATCTGATTTTGGCATCATTACTAATGGTGAGCTCCATTCACTGCAACTCACTTCGATGATGTCATCCCTGTGCATGCTTTTAATCTCTTCTTGAACCTATGCCAACTTTAGGGGATTAAGTCAATAAGGATGTTGCTTAATTGGAATAGCATTTCCTATATCTACTTCATGTGTCGTTAGAATAGTACTTCCCAAATTATTCCCATATATCTCTTCATGTGACTCTAATAGCTCTTTCAGGTCATTCTATTTTCCTCTGAAAGATAACTCAATAATTTATTCCAATTTTTGACAACTTCCTCATTGTTCAATTTAATTTGAGGAATGTCCAATTCAGAATCATCTGAACTTGGTTCTTCACTCTTTTTTAACCAGTAGCACATTCTCCTTTTGCTTTCCTTCCCTTTTAAAATACCTTTTGAACATATTCACATGACATAGACTTTCTGGCATTCTTATCAAATAATTCACCTCACTCAATTTCCTTTTGATTTGATATGGTCTACTAAACCTTGCTTTTAAAGGTTCACTACTACTGGGGGTAACTCTAACAATTTATCTCCACTAGCAAAATTGTGAATTTTTGATTTCTCGAATGCTTCCAGTTTCATCTCATGATGTGCTACTTTTAAATGCTGTCTAGCCAACTCACCCACTCTATTTAATCTTTCCCTAAAATTTGACATATTGTCCAAATATGTAGTCACTGCACTCTGACTCAACAAATTTTCCTTAATTAATTTCAGTGGTCCTCTCACCTCACACCCTAATTCAAATGGACTGGATTTAGTTGATTCATTAAGTGCATCCCTAATTGCAGAAAGTACAAATAGAATTCCTTTATCCCAGTCTTCTGGATAGTTTTGATGATAAGCCATCAACATGGTCTTTAAAGTTTGATCCACCATTCTAATGCTTCCTGCAATTCTGGGTGGTACTTAGTAATTTTGAATTGCTTATTCCTAAGCTATCCATAACTCCCTTGAATAACGTTGATGTAAAATTTGACCCTTGATCTGATTGTGTTTCTGTGGGTAGTCCGTACCTAGTAAAATATTTGAGTAACTCTTCTACAATCATTTTAGCCTTGATAATGCATAATGAAATGGCCTCTGGAAATCCAGTAGACATCCATTATGGTCAACAAATACTGATTCCCACATTTTGTTTTAGGTAGGGGTCCTTCATAATCAATTCAGACTCTTGTAAACGGTTCCTGAAATGTGGAGATTGAATTTTTGAACTCCCATAAAATAATCATCCCTCAAAGAGTGTCATATGCTTGATCTACTTTCAATGTCTTTATCTACCTATCACTGTCTGAGGTTTTCCAATTGGCTGACATGTATGAATGTCTGGCAAAATACAACCATATCTCTATGCAGTCCAAGCCAACAAAAATATTTTTGATTTTTGGCTTGAGTTTTCCTTACTCCCAAATGACTTCCTACTGGTATTTCATGCGGTTTGGCTCTGATAGGATTGCTCTCCATCCCTACTCCTACCTTTAACCTCTACCTGCGCCATATTAAGTTGACTTTGAGTTTTCGGTTCCAACCTCTGAAGTTCAAAAACTCTCTCCTTCTCCCTTTATTCTCCGAGGACCTTCCTTTCTTTCTCTTTTTCCTCTTCTAGAGCTATTCTCTCTTTCTGCTTTTCTTCTGCTTTCAACTGTAATTCAAACTGTTTGATTTACTTTTCATGTTCAAGCTGCTTCATTTGCAATTGAATTTTAGCCATTTCCTAAGATTTCGATAGCATTTATGACAATCGTAAATGTCAAGCTATTGCTGCAATTAACTCGCCTTTTCGCAGAGACAAAGGCAACCCCAACTGCAGCTTGTTTGGCAATTCCAGAAGCTTTGCCATGCTTACTTTCTGTAAAATTCCCAAAGTGATTTCCTGCAAACCCAGGAAACTCTTCATGACTGAAAGAGCCATTACTACATAAGGTACACTCTGTTTAAACCAACCGAATGCAACACCCGTAAAGAGAATACCAACACTCACTACTCACTGTCTTTGAATCCAATAATCCTAAACCCAACATGGAATTAGAGATTTTGATCCATACAAGAGTGCCCAATTTATATTGGACCACACCAAATCCCCTCAAAATATATTAAGATCACCTGGACCCCAACTTTTGCTTACTTTTAAAGGCAAGTGTAAAGTGGTGTGTTCCAGATGTAATTCTATTGGTCAAACTACTGGGCTTAAAACAAAACACACTTTATCTTACACTATACTTAAAATAGAAACATAAGAAAGAAGAATTGGAATAGCTTAACTCCATTGGAAAACTTAATATAATAATAGATTATTTAACTACTGAACAGCAACTGTTCCAAAATGTAACATCCCATAAACACAGGAGCAAAAACAGAAGTTGCTGGAAAAGCTCAGCAGATCTGGCACCATCTGTGAAGAAAAAAATCAGAGTTAACGATTCAGATCTGGTGACCCTTCCTCAGAACCATCCCATAAACACACACTTAGCAAAGGCAAATTCAGTAAAATAGATTGTCTCAATGCAATTCTAGCAGCAGGAAGAGATCACAAGTTCTTAGTCGTAACAGACAGAGGAATAAAAGCTTCCACATCCAGCTTCAAGATCCCAGCAGCTACTGAAAGTTAAACTAAAATCCCGGTTCTACGTGAGTTTGACCCCACCCGTTCTCACTGCTTCATTTGTTCCAAATTTAAAATAAAAACTCAAGGCCTGACAAGCTGTTTACTTTATGGCCTGGGACCAGACCACTCTTCATAAAAGAAACAGGACAAAATACATAACATTTAAAGCCATAGTATCATCACACAACCAACTTTGCTTTGAGTAGCCATTGAGACATTCAGTAATTTCCAGCTCCAATACTGATGTCCAATTTGACATTTGAACCTTTCTAAGAATAACTCTATCTCTGGCACAGAATACTTCTTCGGTATTTCACTAAAATCAATGGGATGAAAGGTCCACTTCCTTTCAGGTACACTCCAGCTGTAAAGTAAGCAGAAGGACCATGAATTAGACTGGGAGGTAGCTAAGATAGAAATAGGAGTAGGCCATTCAGCCCATCACCAATATAATCATTGACCATGACTGATTGAACTCTTCAATGTTTTTTACCCACACTATCCCCATAACCCTTTTGCCACTGATAATCAGGAATATATCAATCTCTACTGTAAACATGCTCAAAGACCGAGCTTCCACAGCCCTCTGGGATATGCCAATGATTTATCACAGTCTGAGTAAAAAGATTTCTCCTCATCTTGGTCCTAAGTGGCATTCTCCTATTTTTCGCAGTTCTAAACTCCTCTAACAAGGGGAACATCTTACCTGCACCACCTCTGTGAATCCCTTTAAGTATTTTTCAGGTTTCAAAGAGATCACCTCTCATTCTACAAAACTGTAGAAAATAGAGACAGAGTTTGCCCAATCCCTCTTCATAGGACAGTCCCACCGTCCCAGTAATGAATACGGTAAACATTATCTCTCAGACAATAATACCCATCCTGAGGAAAGGAGACCAAAACTGCACATGGTACTCCAAATGCAGTTGACTCAAGGACTCCAGATGGACATGAGACCTTTCTGAACAATGTGACTGCACCATACCAAACAAGGTCACTCACAATAGCGAGTGTGTCCCAGGAAGGGGACTTCCAAACAGGAGAAGTTCTTTGATTCTGTGCGAGCAGAAGACTAGAGTGCAAAGCATATAGTGACAGTAAATGTACTGCAGGGCTAACTATCTAGCCAAAGTGAGGCCCACCAAGTGTGGAAACAATTCACCAACGAAAATAACTTTGCCTATTTTGTGCACCACCCTTCCCCGCTCTACTTAGAAAGAAGGCTGATGAACTACGTAGTGTTCCTTCTCAATGTACACTCCCCATTCCGTATACTGACACTCAGCACATTTTATGCCATTTTTATTGTCTTCCCCTCTCTGGTAATTGCTGAAGGAGTGTCCCTGGCAGTTAACTGAATACTTTAATAAATTCTGTTAAACTGTGACCCTGCAAACCGGTGGTTCAGTGGTTAGCGCTGCTGTCTCACAGCACCAGGGCCCTGGGTTTGATTCTAGCCTCAGGTAACTGTCTGTGTAGAGTTTGCACCTTCTCGCTGTGTCTGTGTGGGTTTCCTCCAGGTGCTCTGGTTTCTTCCTCAGTCCAAAGATGCGCAGGTTACGTGGATTGGCCATGCCAAATTACCCATAGTCTGCATTGGAGGGCAGGGTAGGTAGGTTAGCCATGGGGAATGTGGGATTATGGAACGTGGGGGTCTGGGTCTGGGTGGGATAATCTTCGGAGGGTCAGTGTAGACGTGATGTGCTGAATTGCCTCTTTCCACACCATAGGGATTCTATTCTATGATTCTAACGCTCGCAGGATCAGCACTGGATGTTACTGACAGACTGGATGGACAGCTCTTCGGTTTCCATGCATCAAAAGGTGTGGGACTGTCCTTAGGTATTCCCCCCAAATCCTTTGCCATAAACTGGAGAGAGGTATGGTGAAAACATCTTTCATCTGAATTGCCACCAAAATTACAATGGGACCAGCCGGAAGAAATTTCTGGTCAGAGGCCATCATCAATGGTATTTTAGATTGAAGATTCTGAAATTGGAGTTTTGCTAAACCAACGTGAGAGTGACAGATACAAGGGACAACTTACAGAAGTGCCTACGTAATTTGATGGGCCAAGGCACAGAAGTATGTGACCATCACTGGTCTACACGGAAACAGCCCGAATCAGGTGATTGTCAGGTATGTTTAGATGGCATTCACAGAAATGCAGAGTCGTACTGCCCAGCAGGAGAACATGCATCCCACCTTGCCTGTGAAAGAGTGATCTTATTAGTCCTATTCCCCTGTCGTTTCCCCTAGGCACCCCTCACAACCAAAAATCCCTTTTCAAACATATCCAATTTACTTTTGGAAGTTACTGCTGTTAAATTATTTTGTTGCCTTTCACAGAGTGTGGCTGGGCCAACATTTGCTAATTATCTGTCCCAAATTGCCTTTGAGATGATGGTGGTGAGCTGCCTTCTTGAACTGTTGCTGTCCATGTAGTGTAGGAACAGAAGCAGTGCCATTAATGACAGAGAGAGTGCTTTTGACCCAGCTACAGTGAAAGATCAGCAAAAAAAACCGAAGTTGCTGGAAAAGCTCAGCAGGTCTGGCAGCATCTGTGAAGAAAACTCACAGTTAATGTTTCGGGTCTGGTGATATTTAAAGTGAAAGATCGATATGGTTCGACGTCAGGATGGTGTGGGGTTTAGAGGGAAACTTGCAGGTGATGGTGTTCCCATGTGTCTACTGCCAGAGTCCTTTTAGATCTGCTGCCTTCACCCTTTCAGGCAGACTCAAAGTTCTCAATAAACCCGGGGAAATCCCCCAAATTTAAAGCAGAAAATGTGGACTGAAATGTCAGACTATTGAACTAGTGCCAATTTCTCTTAATATGACAAACTGGCTGTATTTAATGTAATTCACAGGCTGTCAGATTCCATGTGCCACTTCTATATAATGACCATGGAGTAAATGATCATATGCTCGAAAATAAAAATGACAAAAAACTTAATATAAAAGATGTCTTCTGCTGCGTTATGGCTCAAGTATAAAATATTAATAGTTTGAAGACATAAATATCCTGCCATCAGGAGGTATAACTAAATGGCATGTATCGTTCGAGTATTACAGTTTGCAATTCTGATTTTAATCCTTAAAGTTTTAAATTTTGTGAACATAAAATAATATTAATTCAGAATTTAAGTGCAACGAGTAAGCTTTTTGCAGCCATTGCATTCCACCAGGCAATCAATGCCTGGGTCATTAATGATTCTGTGTCTTGGCCTGAAAAATACTACAGCTACACAATTCTTTGCAACGGCAAACATTGCATTGTTTAACATTAACAGCGTCAAGTGTAGAGTCTTGTTACACACCATAGATTGGGACGAGCAGCTAATAAAGAGAAAGGTGGCTGTTTGCCCAGCTTCTGCAAGAGATTTGAAGCAGTTGAGGTGCTCCAAAGGCTCAGACTGCCAAGATGGATGGTTTGCCACACCCTCTGGTCTCCACTTACACCACTACCACCTCAAATTAAAATCAGGGTTCAGAAAGCTGGTTTATAATCATCATCATTTATGGTTTCCATTTGTTGTTGCAGATGGTCATTTCTAACATGCACAGAGCCACCTGTTGTGTATTCTGTTGTGAATGTGGTGCTTAATTGCAGACCTTTCAAGAGTTTCCCAGTGAGGACAAAATTGAAGAAGCTAAACAGAATTGCTACTTTTTTATTTTGCCTCGCAAGCAATGATACTGAAGTATACGGGTGAATGTGATTGGTGTGCATTACAGAGCAGAATGTGCATGAGGAAGTTGGTTATGACAACCCACGAGCAGCATCTCCATATCAGTTAGTTACCTTGGAGATGTTAACGCTTGGCCAGCTGTACTCTCTATAGGTCTGCACATCGAATTCTGATTGACTGACAAGGAGGGTGATTTGTAGCACCACAGCTGTGGATGATTTGCAGTAACTTCTGCACCCATGCTCGTGAACTTTACAGCTACCCATACAATTGTGCTGTAGTGCGTTTAGTAGCAGGAATAAAATACCATTTCCTCTACCACATCCTCCAAAGGAGCTTTTTATTGCATTGAGAAAAGTTGGTTGGACATAGACATTCTCCTTACATAAGTAGATCAGCTCATATATGTGAACCTTATCTATCTTGGCATGCAAACCAATGCAGTTAGTGGGTGCAGATCTTCAGTGTATTTTCAAACACTGTCCACTCACAGCTCTGTGCACATGGGACAGGGCCAGTGATTATCCTCACTATCCCACACTCTGGTCCTCTAACTTCCTGTTGGAGAGGTCATTGTTTTAGGGTAAGATGTAGCAGATACAAACAGAGACGACAAGAAATTACTTCTCTCAAAGGGCCATGAATCTGTGGAGTTCACCAAGCCAGAGTACAGTGGGTGCTGGGGCAGTGAGTAAATTTAAAGAGAAAATAGACAGATTTTTGTCACATCTGTTAGAATTCTTTGAGGAGGTAATGAACAAAGGAGGCCCAGTGGATGTAATTATTTGGATTTCCTGACCTTTGACAAGGTGCCTTTGCCACGTATCCCATCAAACCTTTTCTCTTTGGATCCTTATCCAGTTTCTTTTTGAAAGCACTTATTTAATTTGATCCATTGCATTCTCAGACAGTGTAGTCCAGGTCAAATTGTCCAATATTTCCCATTAATATTTCAGCCTTTCAGCATATGCCCTTGTACTGGGGTTTCAATTTCTTTGATCGATTGATTTATTGTCACGTGTACTGAAATACAATAAAAAGCTTTGTTTACGAGCGGTACAGGCAGATCATAGTAAGCAAAAGATGTACAGATCAAAAAGACTTAGACTTAGACAGAGGCATACAGGTTACATTGCGCAGGGTGTGCGCTAGGTGAGATCAACGTTAGCAAGATCTGTGTTATTTGAGATTAGAGGGTCCATTCATCAGTCTTTGATCTTCTGTGATGATACGGATAATTTCTTGACTGTTCTATCACTGTGGCTAAAGAGTCTGGGATGATCAAATTGATTGGTTGACCATTTAGGACTAAGATGAGAGGAAGATCACCTTAATGAAAACGTTATGAATCTTTACATTCTTTACCCCCGATGCTCTGCTGAGGCTCTCTTGTTCAGTTTGGCAGATTTCTGGGCACTACGGGAATGAAGGAATACAAGGATAGGGCATGAAAGTGGCAGTAGACAATTAGTCACCATTGTACTGAATGATGGAGCAGACTTCCAGAGCCAAACAGTTTGGTCCATGCTCCGATTCCAAATGATCCTGTGTAATGAATACTATAGACATGCAAGTTGTTGCTAATTAGACCATAAGACCGTAAGATATAGAAACAGAAGTAGGCCATTCAGCCCATCAAGTCAACTCCACCATTCAATGGCTGATTGTCTGAAATATCCTACTAAATACAAAAGCAATTGAAAACCAACTTCAAGCACTGTATAATCAGAAATGAACAAACACCCTCACAAAAAATCCTATGAAACCACTACCTTTATATCTAAGGCTTCAACTACCATAGTCAGATCTGAATCTCTCACACAGCATTTTCATTCATCACAATTTTATTTTCCTGTATGGGATGTGGACACCATCAGCCAGACCAGGATTTATTCCCTGTCTTTATTTGCCCTTGAACTGAGTGACTTGTGAGGCCATTTCAGAGGGCAAATGAGAGCCAACCATTTTACTGTGGGTCTGCAGTCACCTGTAGGCCAGCTTTCTCAATCCCTAAACCATATTAGTGAGCCAGAGGAGTTTTTATGACAATTTGTAATAGCCTCGTGGTCACCATCACTGAAATTATCTTTCAACACTACATTAAAAAAAATCATAATTGAATTTAAATTCCACAAGCTGTGGTGGTGGGATTTGAACTCATCTCCCTAGAGTATCAGCCTGGATCCTCAAATCAGAAACCTGATAACATTGTCCGTCAACAACCATTGCTCCAGCATCTTCTATTCTCTGGGACCATAAAGGGAACGCCTCAACTAAACGAGGGCATTATGTGGTGATCTTTGCTCCTACTGCCTAACTCTCCATTTAACGTCAATGTCTCTTCCCCTCAGAAACTCAGCAGAAACACAATAATAAAGCAAAGCAGGGGAGAATTTACACATATGGATGTCCAGCAGATTTGAACTGAAAAAAGGTAGATTGACAGGAATTCAACACTGCAAGAGAGTGCACAAAATGCCCCTTCAGGGACAGAACAACAGCTGAGCAACCCAATGTCATAAAATATTATTGCTGCTATTGATATCTGAGCTTCTAGTCACAAGCATCTGTCGAGGGCCATACATTTGCCAGAGTGCCTCAGGCCCTTGATAACAAAATACAACAAGAATCAGGTCAAGGTAGGCAGCAACCATGATGGCGGACATGTGCCCGAACAGAGGAATGAGGGTGGAAAACAAAATTGACCCTGGGCAACACCTTACCTTCTGTTCTTATCATCAACTCTAAATATCAAATTGGAGTCCTCAGAATAGCCACCTGTTTAACAGTTAGGATGTAGAATAACAAGTATTGGACCATGCAAAATATTGATCGTCCTGCTTTAATTCCTTTTTACCACTTAAAGCCTTACATGTGTGATTCATTAACTACAAAGTAACGATAGGAATTTTAACAGAGTGGGCAAGCAGTTAAAATGGAGGGGTTCTATTTATTGCTCTGTTCCTGACAATCTCTGTTTTTTTTTAATGCCATGAAGTTCTGACTGCCAACTTAAACTGGAGACTCCTGCATGAATATTCAACTAATATTGCCTACATGTAGTCCATACTCCCTCATATACAACTACCCTCACCCTTGGGTTGATGAGCTGAGTGAGCATGGCGCTGTGGTACTGAAAGCCATTCAAGTAGGAGGAACAGAAAGGAATGTCGCAGTTGTATGCAATAGTAGAGTGACAGGCATTGACATTGTTCTGTGTAGCCTGGGACCAGAAGGCATCGTTGCCTGTCTGGTACTAGGAGTCAGGACATCTGTGCAGGGCTGAGATGGAGATGCAGTGAAAGAGGAAGGATCCTCTCATTGTCCATGTTTGTACCAGTGCTGTGGTAGAAAGAAAGAGGCTCTGCAAAGTCTGTATGAGGAGCTGGAAACAAACTTGAGAAGCAGAACCTTAAACTGATAATCTCTGGAGTATACCTGTGATCCCTAAAATGGCAGCAGGCAATTGAGATTAGAACAATGAATATGTGACTACAGAATAAAATGGGTTACAGTTCATGGGGCACTGGCACCAGCGCCTGAGATCTGTACCACTGGTTCAACCTACGCCTGAATTGCACTAGCTCTAGTGTTATACTGAGCCTCATAACTAGGAAATTAAAGAGCATTTTAAACTAAGTGTGGGAGAAAGGGTTCAAAATTGGGAAAATCTGATAAATCAAGGAATAATGACAAGACAAGAGAGCAAGGTATTAATATGGGAAATGACAAAGGGATAGGGTGGCACGGTGGCTCAGTGGTTAGCACTGCTGCCTCACAGCACCAGGGACCTGGGTTCAATTCCACCCTCAGGCAACTGTCCATGTGGAATTTGCACATTCTCCCCGTGTCTGCGTGGGTTTCCTCCCACAGTCTAAAGATGTGCAGATTAGGTGGATTGGCCATGCTAAATTGCCTGTAGTGTTCAGGGATTCCTAGATTAGGTGGGTTAAAGGGGTCTGGGTGGGATGCTCTGAGGGTTAGTGTGGGCTGAAGGCCCTGTTTCCATACTGTAGGGATTCTATGACTATGACAACACAGTTGCATATCCAAGGATAAAAATTATAAACTAAAACTAAGTCACTAGGTAAGGCTACAGATTACAAAACAGTAACTGGACAAAATGGAAAGCTCTGTATCTGAATGCACTTAACATGCAATACAAAACAGATAAACTGAAAGTGCAAATAGAATTAAGTAAGTATGATCTGGCAGCCATTTTACATGGCTGCAAGATGGTATTGATTACAGTTTGAACATAGAAGTGTACG